CTACCATGGGCTGAGTATTATAGTATTAATAGCCCATGCACCGCGTGCTTCCATATTTGGAATGTAACTCATGTCATGACTATGATCTCGCGTGCGACAAATCTACACAACCGCGTTTGGATTATACTTATCCTTAATTTAAACACTGCCTCTTTTCCAAATTATAAAATATTTTAATAAAAATAAAATTTTATTAATGATATTTTTTTAATATTACTTTTTCTATTATTATGTCTTTTTAATTTTTTTCATAAATTAAGAATTAAATGAAGGACATTTTTAAAATTATATTTTTGTTTAACAAAAATAAAATTATAAAGTATATTTAATAAATTTTATTAATATATTTAATTTTATATAAAAATAATTTATAAATCAAGAAAAGAAAATATGATGTAGCAGCTTTTTATTATTGTAACCCCAACCTTGGCCTTCCAAGATCAATCTGCTACTATTCCTTGAAGTAATGTGTAGAATTATCGGATCCCTCATATAATCAAAATTATTTTTCTTTTTAATTCTGATCAAATTAAATTTTGCCATCCAAGGTCACTTTTGGACCAAGCATCCAGTACGAGACATTAAAACAAGTACAAATAAATATTATTACTACGGAGGAAATATTTTGATGGCAAGTAAATATTATCGATTTATCTTGAAGGATTGCAAGACTTAGGTGTTATTTTTGTAATTTACAAATCTAAATAAACGGGATAGATGTCATCTATGTAAAATTTAAAATTGTAAAAAAAAAAAACTCAATAAATTGTGAAATTATAAACCATGTGAAAGGTGATAGGCCAATGAGAGGAAAGAGTGTTGTTAGTGATGGTTACAAGTTTGATGGTAGTTGTAATTTGAAAACACATCCGCCGTATCTTCCCTAAGCTGTGCACCGTTGATGACCGTATTTTTTTTATTAATAATAAGAAATATTATGATATTTTGTTCATTTCTGATGAATTAAAAAAAATTAATGTAAGTATTCTCTCTAAATATTATTTTATATTAAATATATTTTTAAAGTCTTAATTCTAACTCCAACCTCAATTCTAATTTTAATTTTAATTTTAATTTTTCAAAATTTATTTTTTTATATCAAACAGGGTCACAGGGTATTGTATGTATATAAATGAAGAAGAATAGAGGAGGAGATATGGTGAGAAGATTAGGATGGAGATTGGAGAGGTGGGAAAAAGAATGTGTGAAGGATATGAAAAGGGAGGCATGGGAATTGGGGGGGGGGGGTGGTGAGGTTATCAAATGGGAGAAACCAGATATTTGAGGGAGGGTGGGGCCACTGTCATCATACGAGAACTGCAAAAGGCAGATAAAGTCACATGCCACTCCCTGCGTCCCTCCTCACGCCACTCCTTGGCGCGTGCTTTTGACTTTCTCTTTCGCGGTACCGCTACACGCCTCTTCTCGCCCTCGTGGCCGACAGCTAGCTCCCCTCTCCCACCCTGCTCTTGTACGGCGCGTACCCCTCCTCATTTTCCATCTTCAAATACTATTATTTTTCCTTTATCATTAATATTAATATTAATATTTTGTCTTAAAATTAATAACTTTAAAATTTTAATTTTACTCCATCTAAATGATTGTTTTTTAAAAAATTTAAATTATATTTTATTCCATAAAATAAATTTAAATAAAAATTATATTTAAAAATGTAGCCAATTTCCTCTCAGATTTTTGACATTAAGAATTAAAGAATCCTTATACAAATTATTATTATTATTATTCAAATTATTTATAAAGGTGGCATGTGTAAGACTTATTGGATTGGAAGGTGCAATGAAAATTCAAATTTAAGTCCTCAATCATGATTGTGGATTGATGGAACTCGTTGAAGTCAAAATGAATAGGAGAAATATATTTTTTAATGTCAAACTTTTTGAGTTTTTTCAAATGTTTAGACCTCAGGAGCTAACAATGTAGATCAACTTCCTTTATTGATATACATACAAACAGCTTTCCAACATAAATAATGTGCTAGTGCGTCTAACGTCCATCTATCAATCAAATGCTTCTTTTGTTTTTAGAGTATTTTCGTAACTCTTAAAGTTTTTGCCGTCAAGAGACACACGTTCTCTCTCTACGTAAACTCATCCCTTATTTATATTATATAGATTAGAGTTTTTGTAGCCAATAAAATTAAATTTAATTTATCTCATAAATTAAATATATGATATCGTATTTAATTTAAATTTATCTCATAAATCTAAATTATAGAACTGATATGATATCTTCTTGTATCATGTTAGTTGTTAAATTTAATTTATCATATAAAACTAAATTTAAAACTAACACAATAATATAATATAATTTATTATATATATATATATATTATATTATATACATACATGAATATATATTTCAAAAATATATACATATATATTATATTTTAAATTTTATATTTCATATATATGTATATAAATATTTATTACATCAATATTTAAATATATATACAATTTGTTTACCCTAGATAAATCATTATATTAATTGAATCTAAACATATTTCAGATTCAATGAATTTGGATATTGTAATTTGAGTTTGGCTGTTCTTATATGCAATCCTGTAGGCTCATATAAAGTTGGCAGTAGGCCAATAATACTATTAGCCCCCGAGTTATAAGTGACCTGTAGCAAGACATTGCGATTACCTAATTCATATATGGATTGATGATCTGATGTAACCTATTATATAACTATATCACATCTCACTCGTCACACAATATTTTAGTCAATTATGAGACATGAAATTATTATTTTTCTTTATCTGACCATTACTTTTTTAATCTCTAAGTGGATTGACTATAGTGATGGAGAAATTCTTTCCATTATAGTATAATCATATATTTTTTCAGTTTTACTTATCGAGGAGCCTAGTAATATCTCTAAATTAATGCGAGGGATAAATTCTATCTTGGCCACTTATATTCTTCTATATGAATATCACTAAATTCAATCATAACATTTATAATCACCTGATTAAATGTGACTTTTAATTAGGTCAAAGTTTAGTAGTCATCATGCAAGAATCCATAATAATCTTAGGTCAAAGAACTTAGTGACATGATTACATATAAGATAAGCTTATGACTTATACTATGCATCTTTCTCATAACGAGTTAGTCCAGCATCTAGAAACCCTTTAAGTGCTTACGACTTTAATTTATACCTTTATAATTAATCAAAGTTATACTAATCTTATTTCATTGACAATCCCTCATCAATAACTGACTAGAGACATTTAGGATAATTATTATAGTTTGTTCAAGGATACAGTCATCATAGTAAACATATAATTGATTTAATAATAAAAATAAAATTTATTAAATAATAATGTTCATATTATAATGACTGGCTCTAAGATATAATTTTTAATAAGATCATGAGGTCAAAATAACTATGCTTGTGAATAGATATTGGCACATGACTATTAACTTTATATCTAGGAAGGTTAAATTAGCTTTTTAAATTGATAGTGAATGTTTTTGATAATTCATTTGATGGAAGTGGAAGATTGTGTGATTCTCTATTTTTCTTTTTTTATTCTCCTAGGCCATGCTTGAAGGACTCAGTCATCAAGAAGAGTATGAAATTGGGCAGGCCTTTCCTAGTGGAAACGAGCCGTGAAGAAGATAAAAGGCATTTCAATATGGTGAAATCAAGTGTTAATCGTCAACCCCAAACCAACAATGTTTGTTCTCTTCTGATAAATCATCCATGTCCATCATTTCATTTAGCACCATCCAATCATGTTAGCGAGATATTCAAATGTTGAGATTAAAGTTTGGCATTCATGCCAACTATGGGCTTGTTTGGATACTCATTGAGAATCAATTTTGGAATCAAAATTATGGTTTTGTAAAAATTTATCCAAACACTCTCATTTTACAAAACTTCATTTGATTTGGAAAACTCCATTTTAGAGAAGCTGAAATTTCTTTGATTTGCAAAACTCTATTTGGCTCCTTTTCTTTATATCATTTATTTGCACATTCAAAATTGATTATAAAGAAATCATCCAAACATATTCAATTTATCAAAATTAATTTCTAAAAATTTGTCCAAACATCATCACGTTTTGATAATCAATTTTTTCTAATTGAAATCCAAACACACTCTATAGGCACCTGCATAACTGGTAATCGATTGTACATGTTACTTGATATCTAAACTAATAACCACTTCATATTCTTGCCGCTTTGAAGTAAATTTTAAGGAGACTAATATAAACTTCAACATATTTCCCATATTTTTAGCGTATGTGTTTTGGTATTTGTTTTTATATTTTTGTATTACTCCAAAATTTTAAAATTTTATTTGTTTATAATGATAATTCTCATTATTACTAATAGAATTAAATCTATTAATATTTGTTAATTTTGTTGTCAAGTTAATATAATTATGATATGTTAGATATTGTATGAGTAAAATGACTACTAATCTTTTTATCTTTTATAACTGTTGTATCTTTTTTTTTTTTGTATAAGAGTTCAAATTTAATGTCTCCTTTTTTGGTGGTCTATTTAGTTTTTTAACAAATCATTACAATTTTGACAAATTTGTATAAAAAATAACAGGATTTGCGTACACGTTAGCAACGATCAAGTGTCATGGACATATTTAAAAAAATAAAAACTGATATTACAGATTAATAAATTTTAATAAATTTGGAGCAATTTTAAAATACAATGATTAATAAATAATAGCCAAATATTAGAGAGGCTAATAATTATTTTTTCCGTAGAAAAAATAAAGAGAAAACCAGACGTGAAACATGAGTGGGAGTCGTGTGTACACCAGATTTTTGTACTGTGAAAGTATCTGTCACGCGCCCGCGTGAGGAAACCGTGTTTGACAATCCCCGTTGGATGTGGAGCCCAATCATCCCCACCATCTCACCCTATATTTAAGTCTAGCTTATTTCACTTTATTTATTTTTCTTTTAATATTTCTCTGATAAATATATTCAGTATTATCCAAAGTCCAAAGCGTAAGCGCTTTTCTGTTCAAGTTTTGTTCGCTTCTCCCTTCTCTCTGTGATCCCAGTACAGCTTAGGATTATCATCATCACTCAAACAGGAGAGAGAGAACCAGAAAATGATAAACGGAGTTTAGAGAGAGTGAGAGCGAGTGACTTACAGGGCTTAGCTCTAGGAACCATGGAATCCGATAAGGACTTGTGCTGCTAACACAGAGGTGGAGAGGTAGCAACGTTATTCATTTTTTCGGGCTTCTCATTTCTCATTGTAATAAATTGTAGTAATAACTAGTAACTTTGCAATGGCAAGTAATAATTGCTTCTTTACATACACAGTGGTCTCCTTCTCTCTGCCTGCCCTGCTGTGACCCCCCTTTGTTTCCCAAAAATCTGTTCATCATTTTGAACTCAATTTTGGGTTCCTCTGCCTTTCATCTCTGCTTTCTAGTTGTTCAAACGAGGGGAGAGTTTGAGTCTCTTCAAAAATGTCAGTATGATTTTTTCTTTTTATCTTGTTTCTGTTTGTTGGGGTTCAGTTTTCTCTATCTGCAGTTTCAAATGAGTGAAGCATCATCTCTTTCTTGAACATCATTCTGGCTTGTTTTCTTTGCATGCTTCTCCTCTTGTACTGTGGCATTTTGCACTGTTTAGTTAGAACTGGATTTGAAATGTTAAATGGAATTGACTTGAAGCATTTTCCCTTTTGGTTTTCTTCCGGGTGTTAGCATCAAAGGTTGAGCGTTTTCTGTCTGGGTACGGGGCTGTCTTGGAACTTGCTTTGTGTTTAAGGATTATGATGGGTTGGTAAGAAGCGACCTTTTCCAGTTCATTCGGTCTTTATCTTCAACAGGAAGCCTTTTTGTTGATTCTTTTAGTTTGGTAAGCTGTAAAATAGCGTCTCTTCTTGTCTTATCTTTTACTTGTTGATCTTCGAGACAGGTGATTCATTTTCCTTGTTTTTGTTGATGCCTTCTTGCCTTTGCATCTTCTTCCTTGATCGATCTTCTACCTTTCGGTTGAGACTCAGTCCGGGGTCCTTTCCTTTGTACGTGTGGACTTTTAGACATTCATCTGTTTGTTTCAATATGGTGTCATCATCAGTAAACTTTTCTGTTGAGTTCTCTTTGAAGTTGTTTTTCTCAAGCAGTTAAGCCACCATTACTGCAGAATTTTAAGTTTTTTTTTCCCGATACAATGGTCGGTCATTGTACATTGTGTTTTTCTGATTTTATGTTATTCTAATTCCTGCATTTTTTTTTACTTTAAAATACTTTCTCTGTAATTGTCCTGCACCTGAGAACAGAGCTAGGTGAAAAAAGTTGGCATATTGAGTATTGGGGTCAAAATTTCTTGTGAAAGATTTTCCAAAGGAATTTGAAGTAAATGCATGGATCGAGGGGACCGTATGGCGTTATCTGGGTCTGCATCTTACTATATGCAGAGAGGGCTAGCTGGTGCTGGAGCGCAACCTGAGTTACATGGTTCCCCTGGTATTCGTCCCCTGTCGAATCCCAATCTGCCATTCCAACCCGGCATTGGAGGTGGTGGTGCCATTGGATCCTCATTACCATTAGAATCTTCTGCAATTTCACCTCATGGTGTCAATGTGGGTGCTCCTCCTGGTGCACCGCCTGGAGAACCTCTCAAACGGAAGAGAGGAAGGCCTAGGAAATATGGTCCAGATGGGAGTGTATCGTTGGCATTGACTCCATCGTCATCTAGTCATCCCACTGGAGCATTGACACAAAGCCAGAAGAGAGGTAGAGGCCGTCCTCCGGGATCTGGAAAGAAACAGCAGTTGGCTTCTCTTGGTAAATCTCTGGTCTCAATTCTCTAATGGTGTGTTTTTCCTATTTCAATATTTTAGGTTATACAGTATCTGGTTTGGAAAACAATTAATTTGGTCATGTTTATGATGTTGATGGGTATGGACTATGGACCATACCTTTATTTCTCAACATAATTTTCTTTTAATCAATTTTTTTTTAATTCGAAGTTATGGAGACTTGGTAGTATGGGATACCAAGTCTCACATGGAGTAGTATGAAATGCTTAATAGGGTATTTAAATGGGTTGATTCTCTCATCTTCACAGCTAGCTTTTGGAATAGGATTCCCCATTCTACTTAGGTACCCACCAATTGGCATTAGAGCCTTGCAATTGGCAGTTTGGGAGAGGGCTACTTATGGGAGGATTTTGACCGGTAGGAGGTTGAGTAAAGTGTCATGGAGTGTAGCCGTCAGGACATCAACTTTCCATAAGGGGCCAATTGATAGAGACTTGGTAATATAGAATATCAAGTCTCACCTTGAATAATATGGGATGCTTAATGAGATGTTTAAGTGAGTTGGTTCTCTCACCTTAATCGCTAGCTTTTGGAGTAGGGTTTCCCATTCCACTTAGGTACCCATTAAAAGCTCTATTGATTCCTAATATAGAGCTTCATATATCTTGAAAATAGATTTTCCTGCATTGATAAATTTTTACTCTATTTAACATGGGTTGAATATAGTAGAGATGCAGTAAGTAGTTAAGTATTATGCTTTTCCTATGGCATTGATGATATAGAATTATGCTTTATGTTACTTACCAAGCTGTTTCATGGGAGGCATGAGTTGTAAGTTTCTATTTCATATTTGATTTTGAGAATATAGCAGTTTCTGAATGTGTGAGGGCAGCATTTTTCTGAAAGGCCAAACAACTGGAAAGCCTTACTATTTGAGTTGTAAATACAATGCATTATGGGATAACTCTTTCTGGTTCATTATGTGAAGAAAGTAACAATCTTAAACTGAAAATTTCTATTGGACGTACTAAAGAGAACGATTTTTTGGACGTGAAAAGGGGTGATAAAATTGTGTTAGACTGCTGAATGGATGAAATCTCATGGAACTAATGATGTGAAGGAGCATCAATGTGGCTTCATATTTCTTGGTTTTGCTATTGCTATGAGGTTTGTGATTGTATAAGCTGTTCAGTGCATTGACATTATCATACCATTGTGTATGTTTCACATCCTGTATTGATTTTTCCCCTTCGGGTGAAATAATTTGTATTTGCAAACATCTTAATTTGCATGTTCTATACTAGTCAAATGACCACAATAAGACCTGCTTACTTTTGTTTGTGATTGTTGATTAGATTTCAATACTGATGTATTTTCAATGTTGTGTGAACCTTTTTTTTTTTTTTTTTAAAATTGATGTTGTGAGTGTCATTGCCAGGTGAATTGATGTCTGCTTCAGCGGGGATGGGTTTTACTCCTCATATCATCACCATTGCAGTTGGAGAAGTATGGTGCAATCTTTGATGAACTTGTACTAATATCTCTGTTCCTTGTAAACATTTATAGCTGAAAATGATCTCGAGCGTTTCTATCAGCATATGTTCCCTTATTTGCATGAGGTTCTAAAAATTTGACTCTCTGACTGACAAATGATTAAATTGATTCCTTCACATAATCACAGGACTAAAGACCACTGAATATTAAACTGATGTTCATGTCTAGTTTGTTTTTCAAACAAAAATTTACTTAAGGCTGGCATTATGACAATGTTGATGTCTATGATAATAAAGGGAGGGATTCTTACGACAAAAGTGAGAGCCTCGTCTTTGAAGTTGTCTTGTCTTGTCTTGTAAACTCACTAAGGATTCATGGAAACATCTTTTGCATTGATAAAGCCTCTTGAAATGATTTTTTTTTTGACGACTTATTTGTCATTCCTTTTCAACTCATTGACGTTCAAATTTGAATATCCTTTTAAGGTTGTTCCAGTAGTTGTTCTTGTGTTTTTCCTTTCAAATGGAGGAAGGAAGGCAAATAATGTATTGTGATAAACGTATTTACCTACACTACTGCTTTTAGAAAAACATAAATATTCTGTTTGCAATTTTTTCTGATAAAGCAAAGGGTAATGCATGTTGATCTTTACGCTGTTATGATTCAGAATCACTCTTGAAATTTGCTTTATTTTCCTTTTCTTTTATTGCAGGACATTGCAACAAAAATAATGGCATTTTCTCAGCAAGGGCCTAGAGCTGTATGCATTTTGTCAGCAAATGGTGCTGTCTCTAATGTGACGCTTCGACAGCCTTCGAGTTCAGGTGGCACCGTCACATACGAGGTGTTTTGACCTTGCACTCTATCATTAACACCACTTCAAGGAATTTTTGAATGAAAATACTGTCAAGTAACCTTCGTGGTTGAATTCATTTTTTTGGATGAATTTTTTCCCCCAACCTCTTGTAAATATGAAGTGAATCTGTTTGGCCATCCCAATATTTTTTTTTTTGGGTGAAATCAATAACGTTAATTATCGGTATGCTTTGGTTTTTGTAGGGGCGTTTTGAGATATTGTGCCTATCAGGCTCTTATTTGCTCACTGAAAGTGGTGGCTCTCGCAATCGAACTGGCAGTCTTAGTGTTTCGCTAGCTAGTCCTGATGGCCGTGTCATTGGTGGCGGGGTTGGTGGATTGCTGATTGCAGCAAGTCCTGTTCAGGTCACTGTATCTTCACTCTTGCCAAAATGATTTATAGATTCAAACTTCAATTTCTCATTTTAGTCTGTTGTAAAAAGTTTTTCCAGCAATATATATACTATGGAGATGTGTGTGTGTGTTTTGACCAGCGCTGAAGATGCGTAGTTGTCTTTGCTCTCATAACCCAATGTAGGGAATAAACATAATAAAATACTCAGAACTTTACTGATAATTTCTAGCCAACCTTTTATTACCATAGCTCTTGCCTTCACGCTCATCAAGATAGTCTATGAGTAACGGAGGATATGGACCAAATAAATCTCTTGCTGCAAGCACTTGAAAAGTAAAGCATTTTTGATCTTGTTGACGGCTTAAATTGAATCAATCATGACTGGTACAGGTGATAGTGGGGAGCTTCATATGGGGTGGATCAAAGACAAAGAGCAAGAAAAAGGAGGTTGCTGAAGAAGCAGAAGTAGCCCTGGAATCAGATCATCATCATCATCATCATCAGCGGTTCATAATCCGCCTGCATTGAACAGCATTTCACCGAATCAAAATCTCAGTCAGGCTTCATCTCTGAGTTCCTGGCCGGCTCCACCTCGTCAATTGGACATGCGTAATTCCCATGTTGACATTGATTTAATGCGTGGGTGACAAGTGATATGATGATATACACCAGTGTGCCACTGTGTATACACGTTTCAGAAGGAATTCGCGATCACTCATCTAATCTTGGTTGTAGTGATAGTAATGACCGACAGAGGAGTAGAGGCAAGCTGACTCGTGTGGAATTGATGAGTGTTTCACTTTTCCACCCATGATTGTTGTACTCATATTCTTGTAGCTTTGAGGAATTTATAATCTGAAGATATCAAGCTCCATGACGTTATATTTATTTCTCGTTGGAGATTTGGCTGCATGATCTTGTATCCCAGTCGCTTTAAGCGATTTATCGTGAGTATATCGTGTCAAAATAGTTGACGTGTCCAAGAAAGGCTAATCGTTTACCTGGGACTAACTTGGTTTTGTGAACTGATCTTGAATTGAAGGAACGAGACTTGGCTGATTAAATCGTGTCAAAGGTGTCGAGATTTAGGCTGATGTGAAGTATATCAGTGTAATGGCATTTATTCTGCAAGTGTTTTGTGGGTTCGAGTTTGTGTGTCTGCAAATATAGGTAAGGTGTCGGCGAGGCAATCAACAATCACGTTGGCCATTGGCCAGGTTTTGAGCGTATGATATCATCTGATAACGTGCACGTCGTGATGAAAAGGGCCAACTTGACATGAACGATTATCTTAATGTCAATATTCATTGATATAGTAGCATAGTATCTGTAACAAGTCACTCTCATGTGATTGATCTTTTACTTTTCATATTCCCCATAATTAACATAATACGCTTATAAGCTACAATTCGATATATTCTAGTTGAAAATTTTAAAATGATGGAGCGACACCTTGATTTAAATCGATCCCTAATGCATTTCTAAAGAGCTTTATTAATTTCTGAAAGCCAATTGAGCCCACAACTTGTCCATATAAACTTTAAAATAGACAATCACGGGACACAGATATATTCCCCATATTTTACACACGTGAGGCTGATGTGATCTTATGTGGTAACCCAATTGGCATCCAAAAAGTCATCTTAAGTGATATCCAAGATGGCTTCCCACATAGCAATTAAGCCCCAGATGATAGCATGTGTAACAACCTTATCTTAGTGGCATTACATGTCATCAAATCACCCAAAGCCAAGTCATCCAAGTGGATAAAAAATCTAAATGAAAATATTTATGCTCAAGAGGCTTTAATATGTATTTGGGAGTTCAAATCACTATATTAAAAGCCCAATACACAAGTATAAACTTTGATGAAGCAAATTGGGTTATAATCTTACTTTAAGCCCAAATATATATTCAACGTTTTATTTTCTTTTTGAAGTGAATGCTTTAATTGAAAGGAGAAATAAGTAGTATGATAAGCAAGATAACAAAGGACACAAGAACGTTGTCTTCAAACCTAAAAATTGTGTTTGGGTACATCTCAAGCCAAGGAGATATCCAAATGTGAAGAAGACAAAGTTGCATCCAAAAGGTGATGGACATTTTCAAGTATTGAAATGAATTAATGACAATGCCTATAAGACAGACCTTCTTAGCTCATATGGGAATGTGTTAGCTACATTTATTTGATACATACTCCTCCGGTCCCATTTATAAGTCCCATTTTAGAAGGTATATTTGGTCTCATTTATAAGTCATGGTGTGTCTTTTTAGGTAATATTTGAGAGGTATTTCCAAAATTACCCTTCATGAGAGAGAAAAAGTAACAGGACATTACTTTTTAGATTTGTTATATAGGGGCATGTTTGGAATTTTACTTACTTTTATTTCTTGTACTTTTATTGTATTGGTATTGATGAGGTTGGTAGAAATGACTTATAAATAGGATCAGATGGAGTATGATTCAAAGGCAAATCCTCATCAATAGGGAGGGAATGATAGAAATTAAGGGATGAGTCAAAATTCAATATTTAGTACCTTTGATTCATTATAGGGCATTGAAAAATTAATGATTAGATCCTCAATTAAAAGAATGAAAGAAGTCATAAATTCATTAATTAAGGATGTTCTACATGATTGAAAAGTCTTAAAAACAAATGGAGCTTTATAAGATCTAAGAACAACTCTTAACATATTGGACCTAACCTAAGATACACAAGCCCATGAGTCTAATTAGTTTAATTAATATTTTTTAATTTAAGAAATTAGTTTATCTTATTTTAATTTTAAATTTAAGTTTAGGAAATTAGTTTATTTTTTTAAAATTCATATAAGGATAAAATATATCCATCAAGATATGATCTATCCATTTGAAATTCTAAATTAGTTAGAATTACATTATTTAGGTTTTTAGAAGTTTATTTAAATAATTTAGCCTTTTGTATTTTAAGAAGATTTGATTGAATTTATAATTGATTTTTTTTAATTGTGAGACTATTTCAATTGGAAGAAAATCGGTTGAGATGGTTTGGGCATGTACAAAAAAGACCAAGGGAGGCACTGGTGAGAAAAGTGAAACATATAACTTTGAGTCTGATTAAAAAAGGCAGAGGAAGGCCTAAGAGAACACTCTTGGAAGTTATTGAACGCAATCTCTTAATTAATAATATTCCTAAAAGCTTGATAAATGATAGAGCATAATGACGTTTTGTAATCCATATAGCCGATCCCACCTAGTGGGATAAAGGCTTGTTGTTGTTGTTGTTATGAGACTATTTCAATTAGTATTGTTCTTCATGAGAGGAATATTAATTAAACTAATTAAACTCATGAAGCTGAGCATCTTGAGTTAGGCTCAATATACTAAAAGTCTTTCTTGAATCTTCTAGAACTCCATTTGTTTTTGTTGCCTTAGGTTTCTACGCAACCGACAGCTGTGAGCCTAATTCCTTAAGGAATCTGAGCACCATTTAAGTCTTTAGAATTTCTTGATCATGTAAAACATTTCTAATTAATGAATTTAAGATTTCTTTCATCCTTTTAGCTCAAGATCTAGTGATTGATCTTCCAATGCCTTACAACAAATCAAATGTACTAAACGTTGGCGTCCCTTGATCCCTATCAGAGTCACCATGGTTCAATGTTTGGGCCCAAATCCAAGCCCAACATTTGTTGGCCCACAGTAATATTTTAATTGAGGAAGAGGAATACTCAACCATCAGGGAGCGCTAGATCAACTATAATAAGGAGTTATTCAGTGGTTTTGAGTTGGAGTGGTATGAATGTATGAGTGTTAAAACTCTGGTAGAGCCCGCCGTCTGTAGGTATAGGGGCATGTCAATGCTCGATTCAGATCAGTCTAGGTTCTCATTAAGTCCTAACGTAAGCGATAAAAGAGGGAAAGCTCAAGGAAACCAATGAGCAAGCATCTGCTTGCATGACGAGGATAAGGCGTTTGTCTGAAAAGAATCAGCCGCCTGGAATCTCTCATTGCTGCTCTGCTCACAAAAGATTCTCTATCTATCAGCACCACAAGACAGATTCTATAGTTGAAGCATAGGGAGGATAGAAACTAGGGAAAATGACTAGTTTTTTGTCTGCATCCATCCCTCAAAAATTTCACCGTTTTTAAGCATATGTTATATTACTGCTTCAATTGAACCTATTCATTGCCAAGATCAAGTGTTTTTTTCTTTTTCGAACGGACTTCACATATATAATTAAGTTGCAACAAGCGTATTCCCACATGAGATAATCATTCCTTTATTAGCTGCAACGTAACCATGCCTTATTTTGTCTTTTTTATAAATCTTGCGCACAGAGAACTTGCTGAGACTTTCTGTGACATGCAGGCTCGATTTTGATTGGGTTCTGGCTTGCGTAAATACAAGACTTGTTGATCCAACCGAAGCTGCAACATATGCTAGCTATTTGCACTTGTAACGTTGGTGATACCACCAACAATCCCATTGGTCATTCATTATACTTTCAACATATTACATCGTAATCAATCCCTTTCATTTATTTAACTCTTCCGTTACCGACTTGCTGCAGCATCGTGCAAAACACTTAACACCTAAAAACAGAATAAACTTGTACGCTACAGGAACTAGGGACAAACATCATAAGCTACTAACTTTGTATTAGATCTATATTACGTACGTGCTCTATTTTTTGTCATGGCAATTTCTTCCCTGGCGCTGGCGCCGTATGGAATATTTTTCTTGCTATCTAGTCAAATTACTTAATGAAGATCTACATAGATTGATTCGGACGTTCATCACAATGGAAATAAATAAAAATCACCACTTATTTCACAAGGAAGGGGTTACGTCTTCTCAATAAATACCCTCCTTCACAAGCTCTTTTCTGCAGATCGCGATTAACTGATCTATTCATTGAAACATAGGGAAGGAGAAGATGAAGATCCAACCTGGTATTTCAAATCCTGCTCTCATCTTCATGTTGTCTCTTGTTCTTGTAATGAATCTGATGGCGTCCATTTCTGGGGAAGGCGGTGGCACCTGCAAGCCCAATGGGAGATTAACCGGGAAGAAGCCTCCACCGGGAAAATGCAAGGGAGACTGCTGCCATCCGGGGAAGTCGTACCCCATCTTCCAGTGTTCGCCGCAGCTGACAAAGCGGACGAAGGCCACTCTAACTCTGAACAGCTTTAGGAGAGGCGGAGACGGAGGAGGGGCAGCAGCGTGCGACAACAAGTTCCACTCAGACGACACTCCGGTGGTGGCGCTATCAACGGGATGGTTCAACCACAAGAAGAGGTGCCGCAAGAGTATCGTCATCTTTGGGAATGGAAGGAGGGTGAAGGCCACGGTGGTTGACGAGTGTGACTCCACAAAAGGCTGCGATGCAGAGCATAGTTTTCAGCCTCCGTGCCCTCCTAACGTCGTTGATGCTTCTAAAGCTGTTTGGAAGGCTCTGGGTGTGCCCCAGAAAGACTGGGGCGAGCTTCATGTTGAATGGTCTGATGCATGGAGAACAAGTTCTCGTGCACACACATAATGTTTGAGGCTAGCTTGCTTGTATCTACGAGCCAATGATGTGCACGAGAATTCCTCTCCATGTGTGCGGGAATAAGGTGAAGAGAAATTTTTAGGTACGTTGAATTTATAGAAAATATAGCAACAAGCGGATCATGAAAAGACGCAACGCCTATCAAAAGCGGCTTAAAGAAGGGAGAGTTCCATGTCATGGTTAAGGCATCGAATTCTTCTGACAGATATGATTAAGTTATAACATACTATTTTTCAAAGTTATTATTGATATTTTTAAAGTTACAATTCGGTTTGCTCGAAAAAATGTTCTTGCTTTGTTACGAGTTGTAACTTTGAGAAACATCAGCGGTGACTTTAAAAAGTAGAATAAATCATTTTGGCCCTGCAGAAAAAATATTGATTTTTATGATCTTTTAAAATAATTATCATTTGCTATATATATGATCAGGTTCAGTGGAACTTCCCCTTTCATAAATCTCCTCACGTGCCCCGTGTCTATTTTATGATCAGTTTGGTATATAAATTTTTCCATGAATTCAACCTGCTTGAAAAATTTTCTTTTAAAGGGTACCATGGTTTGTGATTTTCTTAATTGAAATTTATGTAGAATAAAGAAGATTGAAATAAGTGAAAGGCTGTGTTTTAAGTTTTTGCTTCATCAATTGTATGTCGTGGAAAAGGTGATGAATAAACTTGATGATCATATATTTAATTATGGAGCATACTTGTGTGTGTGATTTTCAGTATGTGCAAGTGTGCGTGCATATAGGGACCAATTTGAACTAATAACTTGTTAATCAGCGAAAGACATTTATGAAAGCATATGTATGGGCTTCTTAACGGGATTGTGTGGACGGGATGAAAAGGGGCTGAATGACGTAAATTAATACGTAATACCTATAACAAAGAACAAGGCATACAACCATGTGGTATTTTAAATTGAAACATGTACAGGAGTGAGATACATTCAATATTTATATATAAGAAAAAAGTGACAGTCTTCCTGTTAAATTTGTAATTAAGATAAACATGTGCATTTATCTCATTGCGTTTCCTTGCTATGTGTGACTTGGGAAAAAGAGCCAAACGTGCGAACTGATGGAATTCTGCCACCAACATATTGAAATCAAAATATGCATGATTGTTTCACCCAAAAGGGAAAAAAAAAAACATGCATGATTGTGGCAGACTTACTTATCTAATTCAAATTAAAACAATCCAAATTATGATAATTAAATATATAGTTCCTTGCATTAATTTGATAAGGATGCCCCTTCTTATGTATGGGTTGGGAATTTATGATTGGATAGTTAGTGGGTCTGATTCTTTTGTCTGAAGAATCAGCCGCCTGGAATCTCTCATTGCTGCTCTGCTCATAACATATTCGCCTTCTATGAGCAACGGAAGACAGATTCTAGCAACAATATTAGCAGCTCAACAAACAACAATATTGCTCTTAGATTCTCTATTTGAAGCATAGGGTGGACACAAACTAGATAGGGAAAATGACTCCTCTTTTTGTCTTCTACAAGAATTATCACAAAAGGCTGTGATGCAGAGCGCCCATGATTATTGACTTCCAGCTTCCGTGCTCTGATAACGTCGTCCATGCTTCTGCAGCAGTTTGGAAGGCTATATACATGGCATGCAGACACACCAATGTTCTGCAGGACGGATTACGATTGCATCCAACCATTAGTTTGATGGTCGGGTGGTCTTTTTTTAATTATTAGTTATACTATTCAAAAGTATCGGCCCTTCATTGAACAGAACACTAAAAACTTTATACTCCTTCAATAGGGTGGTGGTTCAGATTCAGCCCCAGATCTAGACTTGCTCCCTCAATCTTGTACAGCAATCTCAATTGATTTTTTTTTTTTTTTGGGGGTGGGGGACGCAAGGTAAAATTGTATATGTAACCCACTTCAATGGTAATTTATAAGCTTCTAAATCCAATCTGAAATCCTTTGTAAGCCTCAACTACATAAACTAAAGGAAAATCACATTCAAGAATTACTCAAACAAATTATTTACAGATAAAGACTAATAACAAATTACATTTGAAAAAAAAAATCAATTTTCTTATTTTAACAACAATCAATTTTGTATTGATTCTTGTCTGCAAATAATTTTTTTAAGTGGTCCTTTGATATGATTCTCCCATAAACTGACATCAGCATTTATGATATGGAAAATTAAGCTGCAACAATTCACTTCCTTAATATTCTACATCCCATACATTTAGAAAATTTTGCAACCAAACCCATGTTAAGGCGCCATCATATAACCCTTGGGTTTTTTTACAAGCATTGCAAAACATAAGTCATATCTAAGGCGTGATGGTAGCAGAGACTCCATCTACAGCATGCTATCTGTACGAGCTGGCAGCCTTCTAAAGAAATTCACAGCCGCTGGAGGTGTCTTGTCCCGAAGATTTGGGTGCCTCATCAGGTAAAATCCAGCTAAAACCACCACCATCTGGAAGGGTGCCAAATACAACACAACGGCACCCACGAAGCAGAATGTCATGAAAATGGTGGTGGCCCGAGGATCACGCCAGCTCAAAAGCGCTTGAAGTCTCTCTCCCTGAGTAGCAATGTCGCCAACAACTGTCTGAATCTTCCCAGCAACACTTCTTAAACGATCATACCTCCATCGCACTACATCCGGGCTCCTTGAGGTTGGAAATGTGTCAAATTCCTCATCAAGCTCGTCTGGGCTCACAGCATCAGCATGAGATAATTTGGTGTTCATGTGAGGAGGGTACCTTGGGCGGAATCTCCAATTCCACATTCCAATCACAAACATGTAGAGTAATATGGTTGGGAGAATAAGTTCCGGGAAACAAACAAGCAACAGAAAAAGAATGTGAACCAGCACCGTTGTGACAGGATGCTTCCATGTGGAAACATTACCCAACCATCTCCCTAGTGAAAGAACTCCTGAAAAGAATGACATCATTCTGAAGAAATTTGCCTTGCTACGCCTCATGCTCCACAGATGAGAGTCAGTGTCAGACATGAACTCAACAACCTCCTTCCTCAGAGGAGGTTCTGCACGGCTGAGCCTAGCTGCCACAATATTGACAGCCTGCTGTCGCAGTTTTTCCTGCTCCACAATATTAAGTGGCTTAATATAGTGCATTTTTGGCAAAGGAGGTTTAAAATACAAATACATCATGTCAGCCATTGATGTGCACGTGAATCGTATAGCCAAGTGCAATTCTCCCATTTTCTTGACGCCAGAAGGGTGCAGCATTAGTAAGGGATAAGAGTGTGTGTAAACACGACCAGTTTCAAGGGTTGAGATCCGGATTCGAACCTTTCCAATTTTTGAATCTTTGTTACCGTTTGAGCTCTTAATCTGCCCATTGTCAAACACCCCCACAGTGAGCACTGTAGCCGGATCATAAACCTCCCAACTGTATTGGTCATTGTATCTTGGGCTCAAGCTGCCAATAATGGTTCGAGTTCGCACCCATTTGTGCCCATACTTCGCCACACAGTATGTATCAGATGTCCCCTTTCCATCCCTTGTTTTCATTGGATGAAGTCCATCGGCATTTAAAATGCCAAGTTCTAACATGCCAATTGATTTCTTCCAGAGCTGTTTTGCTGTGGGCTGAAGATCACTACTATAATAAGTTGACTCATCAAGTACATGGTATCCACCGTCAAGACAGACACTTAGATGAAGTCTGCCAGAGAACTTGTCTTTCTCTTTCCTCCCCTGGTCCCCATCCATTGCTGATGACACGGACCTTTCAAGGGAGTACCACCTACTATGGATATGTCGATCATCAGCACGTTTTTCGACTGAGCTTAAAGAAATAACAGCATGCCCAATTGTTTCATCCTTGTTGGGACCAACATGATCTTCAACTGATAGCATCAGATATTCTTCAAAGGGTTCAGCAGCAACAAACATCAATTCCTGATCCCAACACAGGTTCATGGTCCTTGATTGAGCAGGTTTTGTCTTTAAAATCTGATTACCAATCTGCACCCTTACATAGGCATCAGGAAATCGAGACTTATCAGATAACGGTAGGTCCTGTGCCTCAATTACCCTGACCCTTACATACCATAGTCTCGGTGAATGGTAAACTTTTGATCGAATCTGAGAGGCACCAGCTGAAGAGATTCCACTAGAAGATATGGCATCAGAATGCCAAGCATCAGGAAAAGCTTCATCAGCTTGTGTGCCATGCCAGACAGCAAGCATCAACTCTCCTTTCTTCTTATCACCAGTCTTTCCTTCAAGTCGATACCATTCAGGAGCCAAAGGACTATCAGGTGGAACCCTCTGAGGAACTTCATGCAGATCAAATCGAACAGTGCCAAGAACATGATCAACTAAGGTATTCTTGTCTTTGACAACTACTTCAAGGACAGAGGACTGTACATTGTCCTTTGCAAAGGCAAACACCTCATTCCACTCAGGGTCTTGGTTTTTTTCAAAGTGCTTGGTAACTCCTTTGTAGTTTCCAACCCTCACCTCCACATATGGGTCAACACTCGCAACCACATCCTTTGCTGGAAGATCATGAGCTTTCACAACTCGTACAAAAAGGTACCCTATTTGTTCAACAAGGTCGTAGGTGCCAGCTGGCCTATACCCACGTATAACTCGACCCCCAACAACTTGGCCCCCTCCAAGAAAAGGACTTGTCTCTTTCAAGGCATAATCAACTGGAGATGATGCAAATACATGTACAGCTTTCGAAGCAGCTAATCCAGAATTTGACTCCTTCATCCCATGACCTTTTGTTGGCTGAGCAGCTGCTGGGGAAGAAGAAAGCTGTTGCTGTGCTTGCTTTGAGTTAGCAATGCTATGAAATGTATGCCTGACCTCATTTTTCTTACGGGAAAAGACATTCAGCACTGACCTTGTAAATGATACTGATGCTTCACCTTCGGTTGTATGTTGATCTGTATTGATTGAGGGTTCCATAACAGGAAGAGGGTCTGAGGATGTGATAGAAGGGTCATCTGTAACAAATACCTTCAAACCAAGCTCTCCTTTTACGCGGGAAAAGATATCTTTCCTTTCCAAAGGGTAGTGAAGGACGACAGCATCAGAACAGGGGACAAATGATGTTGCAGTGAGACGGACCTTACCAAGGAAGAAATTGGAACTACTATTTTTGCTGTTGTGGTAGACAAAGGCTTCAAGTGTGAGGTTTGGCAACTTGCTTGAATCAGGGATATTGAAGTAAAAGATTTCATTCCAAGTAGGATTCAGATCCTTTTCTTTGGTTGTAGTCTGAAATTTCCGACCATCAAAATGAAGTTCAACAAAAGCACTGGATGAACGTCCATCTTTTGGCATAAGGTTATGAGCACCCACAACTTCCACACCAAGCTTGAGATTACTCATTGCCAATAATTAGCTACCAGCAAAAATTAGACAAATAGAAGCTATACCTGAAAAACAGGAAATTAAAATGGCTCAAAATTTGTACAGTATAAAATATAAAGTCCAATTAATTAAAAAAAAAAAAGACTAGTTGCTATTGGTTAGAATGACGGACAAGATCTTGTCATTATATTGCATATATCTAAAAGGCTAACCACAATATGTGGTACTAGCTATATGGTTAATATTATGTAATGAATAGTCTTATCTTTTATTCTCGACCTGCCCGCTATGCCATAACATAATCTGAACAACTACCTTTTAAAAACATCTCTCAACCTAAATTTCGTGGAAGAAGCACTCTGGAAGAAGGAAGCAATTGCAGGTGAATTCAAAACACAGAGATAGTAAGCATCATACTTCAGACTCAAACTAGTCCAGTTATTATATAATTGTAATAGATGAGAACGAGCAACATCACTGCTGGAGATGTAGCTAGTTTTAAAACTTTAAAATTTACTAAGCACAAGTAGCCTTCAAAATCACTGAAAATGTGAATATTCGGAAATACTCGACCAACTATAGTTTTTGGCTTATCAAAAGAGGTCTCAAACTTTCAGGGTTAATATATACTAGTTTATTTTCAATGATTTTAATCAATATACGACATCAATATTAAATGAAATATTGCTTCATATATTTCATCGACTAGCATTTTCCCACGCAAAATATAGCAAGACTACTCCCCCCACACCCCAAAAAAAAAAGAAAAAGAAAAGAAAAGTAGTGCCGGTCGCGGAAGAAAACAAAATAAATCAAAGCATACGCCCGAAAGATTTTTTTGGTTTTGGGGCGGGCGGGGTGGGTTTTGGAGAAAAGGAGTCACAGTTAGACCAAGTTATTCTTTGAGGTCTTACAAGAGCGAGGAAGATTCCCAGCAGTATCCAAGAACCAAACCCACATCTTTCTTCTCTTTGAGCCAAAAAAGCAAGACAAGAATCAAAATAACATCTTTCACGAACAAAATCAACAAAGAACCATGCCATTTCAGAGAAGGGATAAAAGGAAGAGGTTCCTTATATGTTGACCTCAGTCAAGGGGATCATAACAAGAATAGCCCCTCAAGAAAACACAGTTTAAAAAAGAAAACCATTGATCATGAATTCCCTAGCGTTATGGCTTTTGTTTATTTTTGTGAGGTTGGAAGTTGCACAAGTTTCTCTTCTTCACATTGAATAATAAATACCAAAAATATACGATTTTTCTGCCAAACAAATAGACAGATGAAGCACCGAAATTACTTTTCTAGAACCATAAACAGATTTTTCTTTATAACTTTTCTCGAAAAGCACAAAGTAGAATTATTTTTAAAGTGATTCTTCGAACATTTCTGCTTGATTATGAAATCACATAAAAGGGGAATGTCACCAAGGGAAAAAAATTCATCTTTCATGACAAAGAATTCAATATCTTCTGAAAATTTCGCTAAATAGAAACCAAACCTCAAGCATCAGCAAAATACTCGACAGACCCAGACAGAAGCACCCGCAAAAACAGCAAAAGCAGGACCCCAAAAAAGACCAAAGAAAGAAAGAAAAAGAAAGAAAGGCACCTCGGATTTCAGCTTCGAGATGTTTAGTTGAAGAGCTGAAGAAAAGCCTAATAAAAATCAACGAAATCGGCTCTTCAAGATCGAGGTCAGTAGCTGAAACCAGTAAAGCAGAGTCGTGAGAGTGGAGAAAGACCGGAAGATGACGGGAAAGCAGTCCCGAAACGGTTTGCCTACCGCCCACAGAGAGAGCGAGAGAGGGAGAGGGAAAGCGACTGGAAAGTGACGAGATGACTGAGGAACGAATGAAGAAGAGGTGGTCCGCTTCGGTTGTGTTGTGTAGTTACAGCGCACGCTTATGCGCCAATGATGTGTCCGTCTAGATTTCAGGTATAATAAATTATAAAAATAATTAATTAAATGATAAATTTTAATTATAATTAATTATATTATAATATAATTTAGGGGCTTTAGCAAATTTAGCCAATATTATATAATTAAATAAAGCTAATAACCTACTTGTTCTTAAATTAAGATAATGGCCGTTTGTTAATTTACCTTTGATACAAAAGACAAAACTATCCTTTAACACTACAATACTCTGATTCTTCCTTTTCACACTGGCTTCACTTTCACCCACCTGAAAATGTGGAGATGACACTACACTCTTAATCACAACGATGAAGAAATTGATAGTAGACAACAAAACAGCTCACATTGATGGATCAATGGAGTTTGAGATTCAGCTAAGAGACTATAAGAATGTAAGGCAAGGCAGACTAAAAGCTATAGATTCAAGTTGAAAAATCATGAATGCAAGGTGAAAAAGTCTAAAACTGCAGCTTTTATACAAAGCCACACTAAAGCTGCAAATCTAGGGTGAGGAAGTTCGATCAGACTCTGTTACAAAAGTCAGAGTTTAAGCCGTATATCAATGATATAGTATCACAGATCAATAATGGAGTTTTCTTTTTAATGTTTAATGTCCTCTTCGTAATATCTGAAAAAAAACAGAGAGAGAGAGAGAGAGGAAGAGCTCTGTGATGAAAATGGTGATCTAGAAAAATTAGATAAAAAATTTTGATGAAAAAAAACACTGTATAAGAGATGAATATAATGATCAAGAAAAATCAGATCCAAAATATATGATGAAAAAAATATTCAGAAATGATAAATCAAAAGAGAGCACACACAATATGATTTTTGATGATAAAAATGACAAATCCAATCAGCTAAAGATTAGTTAGATCAAATATATTTTGTTTTAATAATAAATTTATTTTGAGGATAAAAAAGAAAAACACATCTAATTGATTTTATGAATGGGCCATATTTTAAAATATTTAAAAACCTTATTCATAATTTATGGGAGTTGTATTTTTTGAGGCCATTGAACTAATTTTCTCTATAATTTATTTGAATATTATTTTTTAAAATTAATTTTAATAAAATTAAAAATGTTTAGATAGTTTAATTAAAATTAATTTTAATTATATAAATTATTATATAATGTAATTCTTAAAAATCAAACATTAATATTTTAAAAATACAAAGTTTGAATTTTATTAAAAAAAGAGAAAAAAAGAAAATTTTATTTTTTTATTAAATTATGTTTTTTTTATAATTTTTTTTTGAGCCCGTTTTTATTTTTTTAATATTTTTTGACAAACTTTTTCCTATAAGCTCTAATTCTCAACTTTTAAAAATAATTAATTTTTGATCCAAAAATCGATTAATAAAAAAAAGAGTGTTTGAATAATTTTGTGTGGAATTAATTTTTTAAGCCAAAAATTAATTATTTTTGCTGTTCAAACACACACATTGAAGGTGAAAACTTTCCCGTCAGCGGTTGCTTGGTTGGCACACATTTTTCAAATTCAAGACAAAATAATGACACCACAAATTATATTTGCTTCCCAATATATCCTCCTCCAAATTTTATTTCTAATTTCAAAAATAAACGGGCATGTTCCTAATATTCATCATATAAAATTTTAAAAACTAAAATATTAATGATTTTTAAATAGTGTGACTTGTTTATTATTTTATATTTTTAGTCAGCAATCTCACACTCTTATCATTTTCATCCTTATTTTATTTTATTTTCAAACTTTATTTACTTTCTTTTTATTTCTTATTTTTTATTCTAAATTATATTCATCTCTGTGGTTTATTTATTATTTTAAAATAATTTTTAACTTTCTCGAAATACAATAAATAAAGATAATGAAAAGTGTTAAATGTGGGACAAATTAAATGAAGTAATCAATTTTTTTTAAAAAAAAGCTAAACTAAAACAAATAAATTAATTAAAGAGTCAAATTAGTAGTGACAGTTAGGCCATATTCTGGCGAAACTATTTTTGTTTCGTTATTGATTTATTTGTATTAATTTACCTTCTCATTTTTTGTTTCAATTTATTTCCAATTTTTCAAATAAAGTCAATGTAATGGGGGATGACATTAGCATTTATTTGGTTGGCGGGGAGAGATTTGAGGGGTGAACAAGAACAGGTGGAAAGTTAAAGGCAATGGGTGATCTAAATCTAATCTAAACTAGCAAGTAGCAATACACATGCACGGGATATATTTGTTTTGGGTAAAGTAATAAATTTAATAATATATTATTTTTTAAAGAATATTTAGTAACCTAAATTATCAGATGATGTAAAATAAATTACGAACTTTAAAAAATGAAGCATCCAATATCCCACTGTTAGCTTCAACTGACAGACATTATGTTAAGCCTATAATTACACATGGCACGACACGATCACGACACGTCAATATCATAAAAGTGTAAATTTAATTATAAATTATTTTTTGATGAGTATTGGGTAGTTTCTATTATAAAAAAGATAGATCATTTAACACATTTTCATTAATTTTGATTAAATATTATTTATTTTCATATTTAAAAGCCCAAGGACGTATCTATGTTATGACTTATGGGGCAATTGCCCCCACAAGACTAAAAAAAATTACATATAATAATCCAAAATCTTTCAATTGCCCCTTACCCTAATAGAAAATTTTCACTTTTCCCATAAGGTCTCTCTTATCCCCTAAAAAAATATTTAACTCAAATTTTATATATAATTTATAATCTTAAATAAATGGAGGGAGAAATAATTTAAAAAGTAAATTTCTTTAATTTTAAATCTTTTTAAAAATAATTAACATTTATCTTGTGTAACAAATTTGCCCTTACTATCAAATTTTTCTGAATCCATCACTGAAGAGGCTCACAAAACATTAATCTCTCAAATTTTCTTGCCTTTATTTTCAGTATCAACTCAAGAAGAAGATGTTCAAAGAGTTCTTATTTGAAGACATTCACAAGGACGATGCCAATGAAGTAGAAGCTTGATTTTATTACGCATGAAGCTTAATTCTAGCTTAGTTTAGACACGGATGATTTTTTCTACTTTGTTAGTGTTGTCTTTGTGAGTGTCTTCAGATAAAAAATTTTTGAACCTCTTCTTCTCGAGCTAAGATTGAGAATGAAGGCAAGAAGATTGGAGTGATTAATGGTTTGTGGGCCTTATAAGTATGAAAATAAATGGTATCTAGTCAAAATTGAGGAAAAGATGTTGGATGGTTCTTTTTTATAGTAAAGACTACCCAATGCTCCTCAATAAATAGTTCATGACTAACTTTACACATTTACCATGTTGACATGTCATGTCACATGTCATTGTAGGCTCCACATAATGCCCTTCAATTGAAGTTAACAACGGGCTACTGATACTTCATTTTTAAAGGTTCATGATTTATTTTATATCATTTAATAGTTTAGGCTGCTAGATGTTCTTCGAAAAATAGTATAAGGACAAATTTGCACCTTACCCTTTTTTTATACAAAATAATATTAAATGAAAGATAAAATATTGTACAATATATATATATATATAAACATTAAATAGTAAATTTTGTAGAAATCTATTACATAATTAAGATATCAAAACTTGTCAATTGTCGCTACGAGACATTGATCCTAGTAAAGTGGGTTATATAACCATTTAAGAACGAAGCCTCAAGTTCAAATTTTTGTGAATATAGAAGATGTTTTTAGAAAAGTTATCTCCAGCCCAACTCTAATAATATTTAAATTTAACTTAATCAAATAGCTATATGAAAAATAATTATTAATTGTCAATTACCATCCTCTGATCTATTTACAACATGGCCTACATAAACACATTAAAATGTACCTCTCATGTTTATATTTTTCTTTTAAATTGAAGTCCAAAGTTAAGGGGTGTGAATAGTAGAATTATTAATGAGACATAATTGTAACAACCTTTCCCATGTCCAATCACAAAATAGGATAAGAATGAAACTTTTATCTTGTATCTCGTACCTACTATTTAAGATTGAGACTAGATAGGAAAATTTTATAAAAATTATAATGGTTAAATTTTAAGACACTGTAAAAAGACTCTAGAAATTTTTAATTTGTTTTGCAATGTATATAATTTCTGTTAACTCATCTCATAAATTAATATTTGGTAAAAAAAAATCCCATAAATCAATAAGCTTTTTTATCAATTAAATTGATCATATCCCCTGTACTTCATCATTCATGCTATCCATATATTTTAATTTAATGTCATGTACGGTACTAAAATTTATATATTATTGTTAATCAAGAACAAGTTCTCTCTTGCAGTTTTGGAATATATGTCCTCATCATCTTGTCTTGAGTAACATTTGCATCGCCCTAAGTTTTTAAAAAATGTGCATCTTAAAATTTTTAAATCAAAATTAAAATACATTTACAAGATTATTTTAAATTACATATTAAAAATAATATAAACATAACAATATGAATTTTCTTCTTATTTTTTTAAAATATCTATAACAATACACTCAAATATGTGTGTAGTCTTTGATTACAAAATGAACTAAGTTTTAAGAGATTAATTAAGATTTAATATGTTATATATATATATATATATATATTGGCCATATTATTTTTTGGATTGAGTGAAAAGATTCAATTTTCCTAAGGACCTTAATTTTTTTTAAACTTATTTGAGCTGGGATTTAAATTGCACTAATATAATCTGGAGAATATCCTTAAATAATTTGGATCGCACTAATTAATATAATCCTAGATAATCATGGAGGATTCAGCAGTTCCTCAATGCAAAACGAAATAAATTTGTTTTGATGTGTTTTGGAGAATTAATGCGTTAGATCACACCACGAAAAATCGCTTCCTAAATGGTGTCCCCAATTAAATCTCCTCAACAAAAATTCAAATTCACATATCACAAATAATATATCAAAGCTAACCAAAAGACAAA